GTTCGCCTAATGCCTTGAGCATTTCAGGGCGGATTTCGTCAATTCCGGCAGTTTTTCCATTTTTCAAGCTGGTTGTACAATCAATAAGTTATTATACTTTTTTAAGCATCATAAGTTGTTCGTACGCCGGACTATATCAATTAGCGAATAACTAGATTTAGCGGATTTAACGGTGTATTGCACATGCCCATTGCTCTTTGTTGCTTAGATGCCATTTGAGCAGTCCACGGCTGAATGCTATTTGATTACCTGCAATGCCAGATGCATCTCACATTATTTTGTCCGCTAAAGTTACCTGACGATCATGATCTTGGAGGAGTCATAGGCAGTTTGTCATTATTATACTTTATACAGATAAGGGCTTTATATCTAAATTACCCAATTTCACGGCGGAGGAGGGGCAAGGATTTTCTCAGGAGATAGGTACAAAGGGTGCGACGAAAACGATGAAGTAATAGGTTTCCATTTGAGAAGGATCATCAGAGTCTTCCCCGTCATCTTTATAACGGCAGGCACTCACTCTGAAAGACGTACGACGTATTGGCATGCGCCTTTTGACATACTGAAAAACGAGGTCGCAACCACACGATTCGCCAGGTGTTTTTTGAAGCCGCTGGCGCCATTCACCGTCTTTTCTTTGCAATTCCGCCGTCGCATGCTTTTGATGGTTCATTTTTCTGATCCATGGACTTGGCTATTTTTTAATGGCACGACTTGTTTAGCGAAATCTGCCTTCGTGGTTACCTGTGCGTACCTCGGCATTGGGGCCGCTGTTTTGTCATCGTCATCCTGCGATGGAGCAGTTCGATTGCACACCGGTTTTAAGTTCGTTCGTTAGCGTCATTTACATCGTTTGCTGAAGGTGTTGTGCCTCCGCTGCTCTGTCGTCGCTGGTCATTTTGGTAGTCTGCGCTTTTTCGCCACCTGCCTCTACCTCCATTAACCTCATTTCATCATTCTTTAAACGAATCTGGGACTGTCGGTTGGCGCAGGGTTCGCGGAAATTATCATCTTTTGTGTCAGTCGGTCGAATGGACGAGCGACGGTGTATAGCCGCCACCTGCTTGCCCCCCCCTCCCCGTTCGCTAAAAGATGAAAGAATTTTTTTTGAATATACGGCGCCGAGTTTCTTGTAGGTTTTTTCTTTTCGACAGTATCAACCGTTTTAAATGACTACACCCATAAACCAAGTACCTCTATCGTCGTATTGTCTATGATTTATGAGTGTCAATGTGAATAGAGGCTCTTCCTCACTTAGTCATGAAGCCCACCATTCGCTAATTTCTGCGATCTGTTCGTCTGCCGAGTCACGACTGCTCAGCCGGTAGAGCGGTGGATTCACGATTCAGCGATGCCGCATTAACGCCCCCGTCTTAGATTGTAGATATACCGTGGAAAAATGTGCCGTTAAACTCGACGAAAGACGGGTATCACAGGCGTGGAAGCTATTAGGGAAACTGACATCCGGTATTTTGCAGACTCCTTAGGTGCGTCTGGTAAACTTCGTCTCTGCAACGGACAACCGGTTATCTGCAGTCAACCGAGAAATACAAATGGCATGCAAGGCCAAAAATATGTTTATATCCGCTAAACTGTCTTTGTGCTTAAAACCGGAAGTTTTTCATCAATGTGCCCCCCTCTCGTGCTAAGTTATAGTTGCGAGACATGGACCCGAAGTCTAGACGTTGTTCATAAAATGTGGACTACGGAACGCTGCATCGAAAGGTGCCTGTATGGAAAACAAAAAGATATACGAAGAAGAATAAATGGGTAATGGCGTAAGTGAAAAGTTGAAATGGCAATGTGCAGGGCATGCTGCAAAAGGGAACGATCAGAAGGACATTAGACAGGATTGCAGGAGAGAAGAAATGGCGCCATAAATGGCCGTATCATGAAAACGCCAGTAATACCTCAGGTTACAGTCTCCTTTTCTTTTCTTTTGAAAATCGAAGTACGATTTTGGGCTTATTAGTGGATGTGTAAGGGATCAGTTATGATGTTATTTGTAATTATAGTGTTGTCCTAGAAGATCATCAAAGACCATAATAAGCAGTTTGACGCGGAAATGAAGGTTGTAAGCGTGTCTGTTAAGCCAACATTAGCCACGAAGACGTTTTGTGATCTTAACGTAGGCGATGGCAAATCTCGCCTTTCTGAGGTGAATCTATCTGAAATAAGCGTACTTTGACTCTTTAGCTAGACAAAAGGATTTGGACGAACAAAGTATCCTCATATAAGCATCATGCCCTGTATGGATGTATATATAAATATGTATATATTGACAGGAAACCTAGTTATATTAGTGACTTCTTGGCCTGTTTGTAGCTTTTTTAAAGAAGTAGTGAGGTCGATTTGTTGGATTTAGGAAGGTAGGCGTGAACATCGTCCAAAGGGAACTAGCAGGAACAGTTATAGTTCATTTGCTGACTTTTAGATCAATGGCCGGAATCGTGATTGGTCATATAATGGACCATGACGTCAAGCAAGATATTTGGTGCGCTTAACTGCCAATCTTAAGTGCTCCTCTGCGAGTCGATTAACTAATTCTTCTAGTCTGCCCTGTACTCGTCCTTTCTTACCCTGCTGGACGCTGACGCGCTACTCCGCATGGACAGTCATTGATTAATATGCTGATGATGTCATTCGGGTTTTTCCATGACTGTCAGTTCGGTGATTATTAATACAAACCTGTTAGGGGATGACGCTTTAAAGATTTCAGTAAACTAGGCGTGTCAGTTGATGGTCACATGATCGAAGCGTGACAGATCCGTTTATCTTAAAATTAAGCCTCATGATCAGCTGTTGTGAGCGACGATGTAGGAAACAGACTCCTTCACCAACGCCGAAGTTAGAATCAGAATTGTTTTGCCTTATGTGGAAATTACTCTACTGCAATTAAAAAATAGCAGTAAACAACGCAGTTAGCACGTTATGCTGATTATTATAATTATTATATCAGATATCAACTATCAGGTAGGTTCACGCGAGCTGCATCTCTAAGTGACGTTGGTGTAAAAGAGCATGGCGTGTCAGTTCGCCAATTCTGACATGTCTACAACACAACACCTTGTTGTCATGGCCCTGGCCGGTCAGTACCGTGGCCTACCAGTTTCTCGACTGGTTTTACAAAGACGCATTGACGGAAGTTTCTTTCTCAAGAGAATTCACAGTCAGGAAGATTTTTTTTGGAATTCTAATGCGGTACCTCCGAAGTTCAAAACCGAGCTCTTAATGCTGTGTCGCAGCGTTTAGCTTTCTTTGAAACTTGTGAAACCATAGCAAGATTCAGCATGCAAAATCCATAAACTCTAAACAGTTGTGAGGAATGAACTCAATTTCGGACTCTTACCAGATTTTTGTTTCCTATTTCTACTAGAATGTTATGATCAGATTAAAGTATAAATCACACTTTACTTTTTGTACGGCGCAAAAATATATGGCAATCGGATGGTCGACCTGAAGCGACTTTTTTGCCCCTGTCACAATCCTTCTTCCAGCTAAGGAGAATGGTTGACGGTCTTCGGAAGCCTTTTTGTCGTTCATGGTGTCTGGTACGTGTGAAATCAAACCAGAACAGCAATGATGCCTATTTTTCAGCAAACAGTGTGATGGGAAATAATAGAATAATGATGACCAATGTAGTAATTCCAGAATCCGAGATAAATCACAGATACATGTACATGGAAATGATGTCGCCTTTGTTCCCTGAAGACCTTGTTATGGCAACTGGCAGTGCAGACATTTTACTGTTGCCAATGCTGCCTTCTAGTTCTTCGATGTTGCCACGAAGATCTTTCTAGCATTTGAGGGAGGGTTCTGTGGTTTCATACTCCAAAGGATTTGCGACTTTTCAAAACTGAATGGGCGTCTCAAGTCCGAGTGCTATTTTCCCACCGTCTATTCTTTGTGTGCGGTTCGTTCCGAAGAGTTTACTTTGGCGTCTGTGGTAATCCTTGGACGGAATGGCGTAAATTCATAAGTAAAGTGAACTTGCCCGATTTCGTTGTCTGGTTGTCAAGCTTTTTCCCTTTATTTACACAAGTTTGCTCTGCTACCATGATTTATTTTTTTTTCTTGGTCGTTCAGCGTCTTATTCGCGTGATATGTCGCAGAGGTCGATTCTGCACAAGGCTCATCTTTCTACCCTTTTGCCTAGCAGCGTTTGAGTCTTCGTTCACTAGTGTCCTGATGTCCATGCTACAGTCAACTCGGTCAGGGGTGACCGATGGTCGACCCACGTTTCATTGTGGAGTTTATTTGCCCGGTACGTTGTCGTCGTTTGTTAAATCCCTGGCTTGATGCGTTTTCGTCGGCCTTAAATAAACAATACGCCGACGTGTTCGCTCGTATCGTCGCTCGAAGACTGGTTTTTACGATGGTGTTTTAAGGAAACCAGTTCAAGCCGGTCGAACCTCAAAAGGCTGCCGCTCGACGAGTGCATTTTACCATCGGATCTTCAAGCGCCGTTGGTTTCGTTCCCCGTCAGCGCGTATGCCTTACGTTATTTTCGTTATAACGTCTCTACCCTTCTACGCATTTTTTCTTCGGGAAAATGCAGTTGGTCCGGGTGAAACACAGCTGCAGTCCGTTCGTCATTGGGTGCGTGCGGGGAGAGGGAGGGGCAAGAGGAGGAGCGCCATGAATACAAGTCGATGTTCTTTCAATGTTTCCGTTCTGCGCCTTCTTGCCTGTACCGTTGGCCAAGTACTTTGACCACTGGATCGTCCCAGCATGTTCTTGGACCATCGAGTGGTCTTTCGTGGTCCAGCGGAACCCGGTTTGTAATCGGTGACGTCTAAAAACGCGTTTAAAGAAAAATAAATGTCATTCATAGCACCCTGAAGATGACGTTATTAGTGTATGGTTCGGCTTTTGTTGAAAACAGTTCCGTCACTTTTGCTTATTGTCCTTGAACCGCAAGTCTAAGGTTTCCGCTAAATATAGAAACAGATTTATGAACTTTATGATCTGAAGAATAACCGAAGATAGGTGTTGTTTATGCTGGAGATGACGCTGTATTATAAACTTTCAATTAGCATTACAAGAAACGATCACGGTTGTCACGGCGTCGTATTTAAATGCATCAGGGGGCCAAGTTGATCCGTAGACAGATGCTGCTGCACTTGTCGTCACTTCTAAGCGACCGTTTGATATTTTGTGTTCATGTGTCGATGACATCAGCGCCAAGGTGGCGGATGACACAGCGGGTTTCGCGGATCACCAGCGTTCCATTCACTTTGCGGCTGAAATATTGCTTTTCTGTGGCGACGTCTTTCCTCTTGTCCAAAGATATGGTTCTCTGATTATCCATGGCATGTTCTACTATAGCGGAATTTTTTTCACAATCCGTCTTGATAATCTTGGGATCGTTTGTTTATCTTTCTGTTATGTCTACTTTCTTGAGGTTATTCTCTTTGGCATCGGATTTATTGTTACTCCATATGATGTGGTTTCTAAAGTATTCGACTTTCCATTTCTCAAAAATGTTCTTCTTTTCGTTAATGTACTAAACCATCTGAGTAAGGAAGCTTGTACACCCAAATCTTGCTTCTGCTCGTCATCAGTTTTTTTGTTCTTCAGATAGCTGAGGCGACTGCAGAGCGTTGTACCAGGCTCGAATGCAATGTGCAGGCTAAGCCTTGACGTAATACGTCATCCATTTTTGCTTTCTCATGAACTAAAACACGTTGAGATAGATCTTACCATCGGATGAGCAGCGAGCGATGGATGGCCTTGATAAATTTTCCAGACCTTCATTTAGCACCGTCATCGAGTAACCGTTGTTTTGCTTGGTCAGCTTGGTGTGATTTCGTTTTTATTTCTCAAAAACCCCTTGCATTGCAAAGTTTTCTTTCCTCTTTGGACAGTAAGTTGGTACAATCGTATTGACTGGCAGCATTTTCTTTAACGCTTTCTCCACGATAAATTATCCAGATACCGATCCGCGTGTATCGTCTTGTGATACGCTGTTGTCGAATATCCCTGCTGCTGATATTTCACTACCATATCCAGATACAGTAAGCTGACATCCACCTAATTCTAGATAGCAAATAAGAAGACTGTTCTTAAGTGACTGTTCAGATATTTAAAAAACCGTGTTCAGAGCGAAGATGTCATCGACATGCGTTTTGAAGTTGGTTGAACGTATCTCCTTGTTCGCCGTAATGAAGGCTAGTTGTTGCAAATGTTCCATTAAAATAAATTAGCTAAAGCAGGAGACAGAGGAGATTGAATTTGAAATTAGAAACTGGAAAAACTGAATCCGATGAAGCATATCCTGAGGAGTTTAAAGATGGACCTAATCGATCAAGTTGGTTTGTTCTTTAGTTGTTCTTCTGCTAGGTCTTTTACAGGTTCCACGTGTATGCTAGTAAGAAAGTTTCTACCATCGTTACTCGCTATGATGTATTCATGGTTGTTCTCTCACACAACAGTGCCTTCGACAGAACGTTCTCAGCTATTACCATGTGATTTTCTGTTTCCTGTATGTGATTGAGTAGTTGGGCAAAGCAATGCATCTTAATCACGCAACAGTACGTCTCGTGGGCACATTCGGCTTGTGTGATTTTCGTCGACAGTGCTATTCAGGAATGGATTAATTTCATTTGTAACGTAGCTGCAATAGTCGTAGATTGTTTGCGTGATTCGTTTCCATTTATTCCTTCTTCTCCATTCGTCCAATCTGTTTGTGCAGAGATTCTGTGAGTAATATTTTATTCGCCTGCCGATGCCTCATACTAATTACTTCTTCACAGTTAGTGGTATAGTTACCTTTGCCAGTAAGCAAGATTGTGTTTCCTTTGTCTACTTTCATAGTAGCAGTGCTTTCATCATTTGCATGTTCTGTCATCTTTCAAAGCAGTTACTTCAGTCTTAGGAAATCTGTGTGCTTCAAAGGCATCTGTTTTTCGCAAATTCCTGAGTTGCGGGATGGTGACTTCTCACGTACGCTCGTTCACGCGATGTAGACATGTCAAGAAGTGTCGTCGTCTTTTGAGCCAAGGAAAAATTGAACATGATGAGTACCAACTTCTAACCTTCTGTCAAACTTGTTGCTGAGGTTCACTGCATGGTTCTCTAGGCAAGGCAATACATAAATATATATCGTGGTTTTTCGGGTAGTAGATCGACGCTAAATGTCGAAATGGACCAATTTTAGTGCGTTGGTAATACTGAACACAGTGAAAAAATATTTATATACAATGCAAACAGTCTGGTTAATCGCATGACTGACCAGTACCGACGATCTGGTTCGTATCTGACGGGCCTTCTTCGAGGTAGAAAGGAGAATTGGCTTCGGAGTTAGTTTTCATCATTCGCAGCGGTACGTATTTTTGGAGTTAGAAGACCAACCTAAACGTCGGTGCTTGTCTGTTATCTGACTGATTGTCTGAGTTGTGTAATGAATTCTAGATCATATCCAACAATTTTTAGTAGTTCATGCTACAGCGTCTGATTAGAGTTAGACCTAGGAAATATCAGAAATTACCGCCTACTCACCTCACACAGGGTTTCAAAGAAAGACGACGGGCAGCCAGTGACCAGTTACTGGACGCTAAACTTCACCAGTTAACCATCTGTGGCTAAGAGAACCTCGACAAATACTATGTCGAATTGGTAGCTGGCATAGGCATAGCAAAGCGAGATCGACAGTGATATATTGTCTGTACAGTGCCATCGTTATATCAAAAAGTTAAAAGACATGTTCAGCTGATTTTAAGGTACTTGGAAAAAAGTAGCCCTAGCGGCCCGTTTTTCACACATTGGTATGGGTAACACAAGCAAGAGAACCGGTATATCCTCTGCAGATGCCCGGGCTAGTGTTGTTGCATGATCATGCTGTTGGAATGAATTAGTGACACGACAGAGGTCTCTGTAAGTCAGCAGGGAGCTAGCTTTACAAACTCATTCAAATTATTTCTCAGAACCAGCCGATGAGTTAGTGTTTGCTGATCAGAATGTTTGCGGGTATTGAGAAGCCCCATGCATTATCACCATTGTCATCTACATCATCATCAAAGTCGCGTGGTCTACATTACGGCCATTGTGCCACAAAAATCTGTAGCCTATGGCAACCATCCGTTAGAGTTATTGGAAGAGCTGACATGAGATCAAAGAAAATAACACATGTTCGAGCTCTGTAATGACTAATGAATTGATATGATCAGAAATAGTGGCGACGATTAATACTTATACATATGCTATGGGCTTGTTATGTATCACAGTTAGAGGTTTTCAATAGATGGTTCAATTTCGTCTTTGAGCAAGATTTGTCTGCTTTGACAAGCTGTGTCTCATACGAAAGATAATCAGCAAGCCGGCTGATGTTAAGGGTATCGACTAAAATTGGCAGACTGTTGACCAGTCGGCCTGTTTTTCTATCCCAGGTATTATTGACATGATCAATAAAAGTAGCAGTGATGTCAATCATGTGTCGGTCTCTGCAATAAACACGTTATGTACTACCACAGAAACAGTTTCTACTGAAAGTTTGTCGGTTTTTTGGTTGAAGTGGATTTGTCGTCTCTCTGTTCCCTTCACTCTGACGAATGTTTCGCCTAATGAGTTGGGCATCAATCGTGGAGTAGTACTCTGCTGTTTTTATTATATGCTGGAACTTTTTAAATTAGACTGAAGACTAACTGTAGTGAGTACATAGACTTATTTGCTTAACTCATTTCTAAGAGTCACAGTGTAGTAAACTCTTCTTTTAGCCTTTACGGTAGATGGGCTGTTGAAAACCACTTGAAGCATCTTTATGCATAAGTTTACGAAATTCGAATTTTTGACTCAGCCGAATTCGAATGAATGTATAATTTTATTGTTTGCATATAAAGAATATGACAGTATTTATCAGTTCAAAAGAAGAGTATCGACAAAACGACAAAATGCATAAGTACATGTACATAATTACATACAAGAGGTAGGATAGGCAAATTACGTAGCTGTTTACGTAATCTATTAAATAGCGACGATGGGTCCTTCGTAATACGAGTCAAGGCAGGAATGACTTAGTTTCGCCTTAGTTTCGTTTGACAGTAGATATTCGGTATTTCTTTTTGATTTCATAATGGGATGTAGGGATTTGCAAGACGGCAAAGCCGGATGAAGCGAATGATTATTGTTTGGCATAATACTGGTATCCAAGCGTAGGCAAGCTTTCAGGATGTGTTGTACAAGTTATTAGATAAAATCTTTTGAGTCAAAGCAGCCATATATCCTATCAGCTATATATTGATATGCTGTAAACCTGACAGCCCGCAGCAAAAGATCGGTTTCGAGAATTCTACGAAAGAAGATAGGGAAGGCACTGGGGAAAATGAAAGAATGCACAATGTGATGTAAAGTTGGAGTAAATCTTTTTAGTTCCCACCCTGATCTGCTCGAACATGCTTTACTAACAGTCAGATTCACCAAAACAAATCGTGCGTTAGAAATGCTCGAAGATATTGATATTTGGTAAAGTTTACGCGTTCACCTTCAGTATCAGTTAAGGAAAGAATATCGCTTAGTCATAGGAGCTAACGATTCTTGTGTTATTCTGTTATTTAAAGGGTATATTTCTTGATACTTTTCCGTATTAAGCCGCAGCAACGTATCCGACGAACTTCTCTCGAAGCTTGACAGGTTTTTGTGGTGGGTGAATTTCGCGTTTGAATTCTTCTGCCTTCTGCTGTCGATGGTCCATTCTGATTTACTGCCAGTGGGATGAACTGCCATTTAGTTCAGTAGTGATGAGCAACACAGAGTTTGTCAAAAAGTTGTACTGATGGTCCAACTTTTCGAACGACGACGAAATTACCGGATATTCGGCCTGAGCAATGCCTTAATTGTACAAAACGTCGATTTTTTATTTACTACTCATTCGATACAGTTGGCACCTACTTTTTTGTCCATCTTAAATCCATTTTTCATTGTCCCCTTTACTGGTATTTTCTAAGCCGTTTCCATGCTCGTTGTTCAGTCGACGAGGAGCGAGGGGTAATGGTGTCGATGATGTTTTTGGTGCTCGGAGAATCGTGAAGAACATCGATTTGTGTGTATGCACGAGAAAGCCTCTGTCATAAGCCGTGGAAGCACTCAAGTTTCGGCCAAAGCCGTAAACGTATACAAGTAACTCATTAGGCACGGTCACAGCTGTGCACCATTCGCTTCAGTATTGGTCGATGGCCGCTCCTTAACGCGTATCGATTATCCTCAAGCGCTGTTGAACGTGGTCTAGCCACTCCAAGCATTCGCTAGTCCTTTTATTTTGGCTATGCGCCTGTTCCAAGTGGTCATCATTGACTGGTATGCAGTTGCTTAGGCGTGTGGCTTCCGTTTAAGGTCCACCCGAGGTACGTCAGCCGATGTTTCCGCTGCTATTTGCTGACAAAAGCGAGCGCTTGTGCTTCAGCGTTCGTCCGTACACACTGACATGATGCACGAGGCTGTCCAAGTGTCACATGAAGTGTGTTGAAGTTGTCAAGTGTGCAGATCTAAAGCAGACTTGCTTAAAAAATTGTCTCGTCAATTTCAGAGCACGTTACACGTGTACAGTGTTTGATTTTATTATGGTCTTATAATCAATATGTCGGCAGATATGTGATAGAAATAGCGATAAAATGAAAAGTCGCACCCCAATTACTCACATGATCTAGTGATGCAATGCCATTCGCTCTTGTGCTTGTCTCCAGTGACCTTGACGGCGATGGCGCTGCTTGTTTAGAGCTTCGGTGACAGCCGGGTCTGTGCGGTTCAGCAGCTACAAGAGCAGGACAGCCTTTTGTCTTCAGCAGGCAGCCGAACGGGAATGAAATGTAACCAGACGACGGCCTCGAAACGTGTTGTGCCCCCAAAGCCATTGCTGGACACCTATCGGTACTCGATGGTCAATCTTGAAGGTAGTGACCATTGGACTGATGGCTGTTTTCGTTTATATCCTATCCATTTTGCTCTATTTTGTATAGAAAGTGCCGACGTTGATCTGGACTCTCTAATCAACGAGCTGTGTGCATTGGAGGTACAGCTGGATGATGTTAGTCATCTTGCGATCAAGAGCAATGGCGGTCCGCGGTCAGTCACAAAGGGCGCCACCTCCGTCGATAATCGCTGCTCGTTCACTGACCATATGGACAACAGCCAGGTACATGACCGTCGGGCTTTGTACTTCATCGTGATACCGTGTTTTCATCCTCCCGGTGATTTTCAGGAAATTCAGCTACGCTCGCGCAGTCCTGACAACGACTCAGCGTTCTGCGACACGGTCAGTCTTCTGAGCGATGCCGGGACGGCCACTCTCAAAAGTAAGGAAGAGAGCAACGGCGGTTCTTCGGTGGACAGTACGCGAGGTTCGATGACCACGCCTTCTCCGACACAGGTACTTCGAGTTTTGTAGTTCGGTGGACAGTTGGCCGTCGGTTCTGCGAGTTCCGGCCCTTAAATAGATGACATTAAAATGTGAATCGAAAAAGGCTGATATGTTAATGGTATTACGGTAATAATATAGCGGTATAGTAGGGTACTGGATAATATAACATTGCATATTGTTTTAGGTAAGTCACAAATGGGAAGACAGTGCATAAAATAGTCTTTAATTAGGAACATCTGAGATGTAATCGTAGATGTCCCTGATTGAAGACTATTTTATGCGTTGTCTTCCCGTTTGTGACTTACCTAAAGATTTTATCACCTCCCGCATAAAGAAATCGTGTACGATTTTCAATGTTTCATACTGTATCGAAATATGTTTATGTATTATGACACGTTATCTAATGCTATGCAATTCTTCTGCACTACTATGAACCTGCTGCTACCAGCTGTGTACCACTGTTGTAAAGTATATAATGGTGTTGTGATACAGCAATGTAGTAGAACAATGAAACACCATGAGTAGCATAATTTATTGCATATGCCATTCCGGTAGGAAGTATTTCTTACCGGTGTAGACTGAAATTATTTCCGATTATAGCGCTGTGGACTAAAAAATAATTCGCATTTCAGTCCGGAGTTGTAATTTGTAGTTTTTACCGAATAATCCCTAATCTTCAGCGTACATCAGAGCCACAGTGTAAACTTAAACATAAAGGCGACAGTGCTGAATTTTAGGTGTAGGGCTAGACTTAGTTATTACCCAGTGAATCGCCGATGTTATCGGCTTTGAACGAACAACCGCAAATCTGTTTCGGTCTATACCGGTAAAAGCGGATTACAACTCTGGTCTGTAGCCTACACAGTCTAAGCTGTATTCTGTACAGTGTGATATTATGATGCTACAATATCACACCTTTGTATGAAAAATCTTCACTTTTAATGAGAATAATTCTGGTAGTATTTATTTTGCACATAGCGCGACAGAAAAACAATGGTTGCTCTTAAAATCTATTGATATGCTAAAATGATATTCCTAAATCTATCTGTATGCAGAATTATATAGAGTTAAAGTCAGTCAGTCAGTTTCGATAACCGCTTGTCCATTCGGATCGACGAAGTAGACGCGTCGTAGTGCCTTCAACGTTCCTGATCTTATGCAGCGTCTGAACTTTACCAGAAGATAACCCGAGTCTGGGGAAGAGTCCTTTCCTACACTTGCCCCAAGATTTTCTTGACCGTCTCAAGCAATTTCGACCGGTAGGTTGGACAAGTAGTAGCGAAGGCAAGTTCTGTATGCATTCTTCCCTTCATTGAGCCCGTATTACGTCATAATGCAGATAGCTTATAATGAATTAATAGATAAATGAAGAACTGCGCAGTGCGAGGTTGTGTCTTCAAATCTACGGTCCCACCTACCATCATCTATGTAATGAATGCTGCATATCAAATTAAGGATGCGATGCAGAATACAAACGACAGATAAGAAGCTTCTTCGAAGGAGTGCTGATGTGACGAGATTCAACAAGGTACGGGGACTCTTCATTTCTGAGGCAGTCTGTCAAAATCGAAAGAGCATAATTGCAATGATTTGGATATGGATCACAATGTTGAAAACGACACGCAAAGCCAGACGCCGGCAAAGCAAATGTTTCGATCATTCTGAGCCCTTGGAAGTGTCAAACCTTTTAACCCAGCCCGAAGAGTTTACCTGATAGTGGAGGATTGCGACGGTTGCCAAAGCCGGTTTAGTTGCTGTCCTTACTCCCATCAGGAATAGCGATGTTTCAGATGAACGGATAATATAGTGAGTGCGATTTGTGACCATATGGCTATGAATGATATGCGTATTTGTGATACCCATCACAGAGGTCTTCGTTTACTCCACATACATGTTTTGCGTTCAATTTGAGCCACGCTTCGGATCGTACTGGATCCGTCTAAGGGATAAAATTCATGAATAGTTTAAAATAGCACTTTATTCAAATTTTCACTCATGGAAACAAAATTCTTCCTGATAATTTTAATGTAAAATGTTTTGTCGAATTTCCTACTGGCATGAAAATCAACCGGTATTTTTCCCACTTATATTCGTCCAGTATGCAGTCATAAAAATGGGAACAGTTTTACCTTGTTGTGATAGTTATTATATATTTATCCCTTTATCTCCTGTGTCTGTTTAATTATTTTCATGGACAGTAATATTAGACAACGCATAACTCCACCAAGATCGGGTTTCACGGCGTACTGCGCCGCTTCCTTACTCCTAGCTGCGTTGAGGGGGCATTTAAGCAGATTGCGGCTGCGTGGTATTTGCAGGACTTCATGTTTTCTCAGTTGAACGAACATATCTTGTACTTCTGCAGTAGCAGGAGTGCAAACTCCTGAAATATGGGTCGTAATAAGCGCGAGGTGGCTGTAGCGAACAGAATGGTGTGAGATGCATCTGGCATTTTAAGTGCTCAAATGCCACGAAGCCGTGCCCTGTTTAAATGGATCCCGTAACAGCTAAAGGCTAAGGGGCGTTGCGATGCGCCGTGAACTCTGCATTGAAGGATTATGCATTATCTTAGATTCTCCATCGTCCGAGTATGCCTAGATGGTAATATTATGCATAAGCGCTGTTGTGTGTAAATATCAAAATATGGAGTATTTTGTCTGAAGAGGGCTAGTTCGTCCGGTCGGAACCTGGTCTTACTTTGCGATGTGCTAAGTGGAATTTTTTTCCGCATTTATAGGCGGCAAATTTCTTTGAACTTGTGGAGTAGTTTATTCCTGCGCTAGACACCTGTTACATTGGATATGGAGTCATACTGAAACTCCATATATAGGCTTTAATTCTTCAAAATACAAACAGGGGCAGTGTCTTCTTTGATAGCTTCTCATTGCTGACACATTTTGGCCCATATCATGTGGGCCTACTTCATCACAAAGCTGCTCATCGATCATTAGCATCATGTTTATTAGCTTCTGATGCAATAAATGTTTCTACGCCACCTATCAACTTTTAAGTGGCAAACAAGCGTAAACATGAAATCTACAGCAAATAAGGAACGGAAAAACTAACGGGTGGTGGCCTTCGGTCTGCGGTGGACGTTGATGTCCTTTATAGATACTGGCTCTTTTCAGGCCGTAAAGCTTCACGGGTCAGCTGCTGCAGATGACATCGACAACTACCGAATACCACCATCAGTTGCTCCACCTTCAAGGTGCCCTTGAGATAGCTGCTGAATCATCGATAGTGATCTATCTCGATGGGCTGACGGTGTTATTTATTATTAAACAGTACTTATGCTGTTTCAGTTATCTATACATATGCTATATATGGGACGGTCCTATAATGTATTAGTATATCACTTCATTGTATAGATC